GGAATCTGAAAAAAAAGATGAACAATACTTCGCCTTCTTTCTTCAATTTTCGCTCTCTTCTGCAAAATCAAGTACTGCTAGAAACGCCGAGCAACAAAACTGCTGAAGAATAAAAAATGTTTCTTTATAGAAACAAAGCAGTTAGTAAAATTCCAAAAATATCATTAATATCAAGTACACATACTTGGTTTTACGTTTTTTTCTTGAATTTCCTAACCTCCACACAAAATTTAACCAGCCGGTTGTGAAAAAAGTCAACTGTTTTATGAATCAAACTAAAGAAAAATTTCTCTGACAGTTAGCCATCCCAGTGTACTTTGTAACGTTAACTACCCAACATTTTACGGCATTTCTAAAGAAGCTGTTCAAATTTAATTTTAGGGAAACCTTTCCTGTGGCTTTTCAAGTAGGAGAATTAAACAGGACAATAATAGACACTCTAATAAAGAATTTGGGAAACCTCAGCGCAGAAAAAAATAAAACCACAAAATCGTGATATGAATACTTTAGTCGAAATGGTACGCACAGCAGAGGTTCATTCAAACATGTGACCAAGACTGGGAAAAAAACACGATAGAAAATTATCTTTATTAATAATAAGAATGCGCATTAAGCTCATGTCAATTTATAACATCCCACATGACACTTATAAACAACTGTACAACGATGTATATCAAAAGCTGCCAAAATTTCCGTTGGAAGGATAGGTTTTAACTTATGGTATTTAGAAAAATACCTAAAAAATGAAAAAAAATCCAAGGTATGATAAAATTCTGCAACTATTGCAAATTCTGCGTACAAAAAATCTGTTCTCAGTCTGCATGTAACTAAGCATAAAAATACTTATTAAATAAAAGATGAAGACGAAAAAGCTTCCAATATTTTCAAATTCCAATCAGCTTACAGCCGTTATTCATTTTAAACTAAAGATCAGCTCAAACTGTAAAAAATTACGATCAAAAAATATGGAAATTCTAACTTTATTCTAGAAAAAAAAAAAAAACAAAAAAACAAAAAAGCGGTCCGGGGAAAATTAAATAAAAAAGAGGTGAAGCAACATTATAGAAGAATGTAAAGAAAAAAAAAAAAAACTATGCAAGAAGATATTACAATTTTTAACGTGTATTTCGCTTCCCAAAAGTGTCGGTCAAATGAGGTAGGATAAAAATCAAAAATCAAATTCTGCTTTCAAAGACTGAAGTTATGAATAAAAATACAAAACTTACAAAAACTATCAACGTTAATTTAGCACAACATTTGAAAATTTAAAAAAATTTTTTTTTACAACAGGCAGAAAACAAATATGCAATGTTTCGATAGGAAATTAAAACAAATAACATTTCTTTTTTTTTTTTTTACTGACTATTACTATCCTTTGGTATACAGTACCCATATCCTTTGTTCCTCTTCTGCAATTAATTTCTTACCCTACAGAAATAAATAAATAAATAAATAAAAAGTTGAGCTCAATGTAATAAACTGCTGCTGCCCAAAATATGTTATAAATTGGTTGAAACAAAAAAAGAAAAAACAAAATGTCACTGTTTTAATAGCCAAATGACTAATTGCTAAGCAAAATAACGGTACTGTTGTTGTTCAATTAACATCTGATTCATCGCGCTAAATACTGCGGGCAGATAAGTAAAAAAAATGAAAAAAAAACAAGAATTTCTTTTTAATGACACTCATTGCGGCTCTTTCTTTTTGCTACTGTATAAACTTTTATTCATCAGACCAAAACAGAAAAAAAAAAAAAAAAAAAAACCTGCATT